CTGTAAAATGTACGCTGAAAGCCTTATCGTATACAACGCGGCGTGACCAATTACGTGGTCCAGAAGCTAAACTAATTCAAGAGGTCTTGCTCAACTAACAAATTTAGAAGCCCTCCGTTGGGCTTTTGTATCACTGGCTTACTTTATCAATGTCGGTGAAGTAAATATGTTTATCGTTAGGGATTGAACAATACATGTTTCGATTCTGGATTAAAATATATGCCTGCGGTACTAGGACAAGTACTTCATAGTGACATGCCCACAACAGCTCAGCTCAGCTCAGCTTGCTACGGTTTCCATGCTGAGTTTTTTTTAATAACTGATAGAGAATGCTAAAAGCTAACAAATGAGAGTTAGCAGTGACGATGGAAAAGTGAGCAGCAAATTAACACAGTCAGAACTGTGTTCTACATTAGTTTGGTCCTTCACTAAGGTGGCGAGCTGGAAATGACTGACCTCGAACTGACACTCGGCATGGCATTTAACAAAGCAGTTAGTCGAAACGAACCGCGAGTTAAAGTACCTGCGTACACAATCGATGAACAAAAAAGGTATTTCAAAAATTTAGTAGTGAGACCCCGAACGAGTTATCTAGCGTTGTCATCATACTCCGGTAGACAATTATCGAAGACGTTTGCTAGAAAGACGTTCTCTACTTGGCGAGTATACTAGAATAATGAGCTTAAGAAATGGTCGAAAGCAGTTTTTGAGTGCGAGGTTTTGGGGGCCAGCACGCCCGTAAAACACTCCGTCTCGAATTCGGTCTTCGAGTTAATCATGACCAAGATTTACTTCAAAGTAAATGACAATCCAAATTGACAATATATGTCACTATTCGTACGGCTAACAATTGTCCCAAAAACACAACAATAACATTTAATTCCTAGTCGCAGCTCCTTGTGTCGTTTTGATGACCATGTAGACCCTTAGCACTAAGTACGGTTGATAGTAACTGGGTTTCACTATGCAACTTCATTCTTCCTTGTGATAACATTTGCGTAATGGATGCTGCTGTCAGCCGATTTATCACGAACACCAAGCTAAATCTACATCCATATACGTGACCAACTTTTTCAGATGTCAGCGCTTTACGACAGTAAGAGATCACCCGGGTTGGCTGGTGCTACAGCCCATACAACGTTGTGCATCTAAGCATGTCGCAATTATACGCATTTGCTAGTGTCTCTAGTCTGAAAGTACTCAGAGTTTGTAGTGTACGTTATCGATGGTGGCGCGTTGATCCGGCATTGGTGCATCAATGTCATCACTTGTCAAATCTGTGCTATCTCGACGATCGAAGGAGTAACTAATTGACATTGCTTAAACAGGCAGGTTTCCAGATTTTCGTTGAAAGTGCCTTTCTATTTGGGTCTGCCAAACTTGGAACAATCTCCCGAATTCCGTTGTTTATGTCATTACCACAGAGCCCTTAGACACTGATCGTGACTCCTTGCACTTTATAACAGAACCGGCAATATTTATGAATATCTCTAAGTGAACTACAAGTATCGGAAACAGATAGCACATGGTAGCGTTGAGTACGACAATCCCATGTGCTGTTTCGAAATCAGTTTATAATTACTAAGTTCCGCTGTTCGCCACGCCCTGGCAGTATTGACGCATCGTTCCTTGGTCCCCAGTAGTTTTTCACACAAGTGCTCTATTATCAATGTGTTTTCGCTGACGGCTTTATGTTTCGCGTTGCTTGTCCGAACCATCTTATTGACTTTGTTTAGCAATTGCTTTTCGTGCATGATACGTCTGCGTGCGTTGGGCACACAAGACCCAGCACAATGCTGCTATAGGAATCCTCAAAGCGAAGCGGCCATAGTTTCTGCTTCTGTTGCGCACATGTTGGTCGAACCCAAAACGACGTACACCGGGCACATCTCCTCAAACCGCGTAAAAACGTAAGAAGAGGTTGCTGTGGGTCAACATGCTTCTTAATGCAAGTACCTCAAATCCATCCCGGATGCCGTTATTAACCACCCAGTTGCCTTGAAACCAATCTTGGGATGTTGAAATGATGCAATTTTGATTGAAAGTTAAACCCAGCATCACTGCGATCTACAAGCAATGCCAGTGGCTCGCATCAAGGTCGCTAGCGGGAAACTTTATAGGAAGTATGGAAGAGGGGTGTCCCTTTTAATCGATTATCTAGGTCAACCGGTCTATTCGTCACAGCACAAGCGAACTGAGACGACGAATTGAGGTGGCGGAAACGGGTGACCTTGCTGAACATTTGTCTATTTTATTTGTCTAACCGGCACAGACAACGGGTAAAAGCATCTGTTAAAAAAAGTATCATTATGTGCTCTATCAACATAACATCCCAGATCAGGTACACGCTTGAGTGGACTATCTGCTCAGCGACATTTGGAGGTGGATTAGAATGGAGCGGGATTGCAGCGGCTACTGGTTAGGGATATAAAATAGGGACTCGTCAAGAAATCCAAGGTTACGCATTCCAGATTGTCCTATCTGCTGAGTTTGGATTGCGACATATGCACCGCATTATTCATTGTAGTTATCCTCATTTATATCAGGCACGCATGTCGTAAATAATTTACATCGGTTTGGTGTTTGTCATCATAAACATTACCCAGGTTTCTTCCTAGTTTAGAGTCTTAGAACATGTATAGTTGAAGTAAAGCAAGAATTCGGTGCAGCTTCAACCGCAACTATATCTGTCACAATTTGCGCGAACACGTAGTTTGTAGTCTACTGAAAGTGGCTACTAGTGGAAACCATGGCTATGTTCTCGAATAACGTTTGTAACCCTAGATCACGTTCAAACACGTTCAAAGTATGACTAGATCATAACGTGGAATTACTGAACGAATTCTGTTTAACCAACCCCATTTAGACACGTTCTCTTTTCATTCTGTCACCTGTTCATTCCGCGCCCCGACTGTGAACTGCTGAGATGCCACCCGAGGCGTTTTCACACGCACATGTGAATTTCCTCCCGGTGGAATAGTCCGGGAAATGAGCACTACACCGGATGAGCAGGACGAACAAACATTTGACTGTGGAACTCCCAAGAGGACGACTGTCATGCACCCTTGAGAGTAATCGTTTGCCGGCTTTTCTTATCGGGTTGTGGGACAGATGGTCCACCACAGGTTCATCTGCCGAGCGAAACCTTATACTCGGATTGGGGATGAGTAACGGTGGGATACTGCGCACATTTGGCGGGGTCAGCTCCGTGACATTCGCCAACGGCTCACATACCCTCCTGAACAAAGCAGAAGGCATCAGACTCCTCTTAAACAGGCCAACAAGGATGGAGAAGGCAAATCTACCTTAATTCAATGATGCACATCGTAGACGATGCTGGAAAGGATAAGAGTAAACACGACAGCTCAGAATTTCTAAATTAGTCGGGTCACACATTGACTATCTAACTGTGCCGATCGGTAGTGCCGATCGATCCGTGCAGTAACTAATACTTCTCCTTTCTGCTTTTACAGATCATTTGCTGAAATTAAAACACCAAATTTCCAATACCTGTCGGTGAGATTAACGCTCATTGATGGTACGCTGGATGAAAACCGATTACTTCAAAGACTTGACTCATGCACAAGGCGGGCAAAAAATATGCATCTTTCGGGGTTTTGAATTGGTGTTCAACCTGAACAACTTCACCGCAGGTTTAACCAACCTAGGTAATATCCAAGAAACATTCGGCATAATCGGGGTGTTGCCTTTCTTGGTGTTAAAACTGTAACATAACTCACATTTCTGGGATTAATTTAGCATCATGCAGACCATAAATTATGAGTATGTTGGAAAGTGTCAAGTTAGTTCTCTAACGACATGTTCAGATGCACGACAATGCCACATGTTTATGTGAGTTGACGCAAGTTTGATATCGTCCCGTGGCGAGCAGAAATGGGTAACACGAAGAGGTTGTTCGGGTGCATTATAATCATTACTTAAAAGTTCATCGCAGAACCTTCCATATCAGATAAGCTTCCACATGCCCGGCAAAGTAATAGATGAACATTCCGACCCGATGGTCCACGTCAGTAGCACGAATCAGTCGGCCGCACCAGTATTAGAACCCATGCACACAATCAGATCGAATCGCTGGTGAGTAGCTTATGCCACTGAGCCATGGGAGAGAGTTGCGGACTGGCAGTGGAGAGTTAGTAAACACAAACTAATGCTTTATACGTATAATCATTCGCTATAGATCAATCCACTTTATTGTCATCACTGAATCCACGGAGTTACTGACATGGGCGTACATCTACACCGAATGCACCTCAAAGAGATTAGTTAGGTCCGGTGGCATTCCGGAGTCCCATTTTCAGCCAGTTAGACAACCGGATCACATCTTAATTCCAAGTAGTGCAAGTTACCTAGCTGTAGTGGCCACTGTTGTTGTAGGGGATAGAAACAGTGCTACAGATATTTGGAGGTGCATAAATGCTAACACCTTTGCTACTACCCAGAAAGAGTGTCCGGTGTATTATGCGAAAGTCCGGAAAGTCCGGAAAACAGTGCATTAACATCAAGTCTGACTGTTCATTGTGATCGAAATGCCTGCAGTAGCTAAGGCACGCTATTCGAACTCTTGAAACCCAATTACATCAATTTGGCACTTCCGGGTACTATGTTTTGAGGCGCGAGTCCAGAGGATGCAGGAGGGCTAAACTAATGCTACCGCAAAGCGGGCGCCTACGCGATGTGTATGGAATCCTAATCTAGGTAAGACATTGCATCATGTGGTATAAGTTCTCTTGTACCTTTAAGTAGAGCACAAGTTGTATTCGAGTTAGTGACGCCCACATAAAACACCACCGGACAATTCACCAGCCCTGCCCACATAGGTTGACGCCACCACGTGTCCAGTCACTCGCTAATTGACAGGGTTATTTAGGCGCGTGCCGCTATTGGCCGTCTGCATGCAGCGCCTGGCCAATCACCTATGAGCAACAGTATGAGACAGCCATGTGTTTGGCCTCAGGTGACTACACGCCAGTTGAATCGGTATGATTTCACAAGTAGCCGCTTCAGTAACACCCGTTCGTCGACTCTTCACAGAGATCTCCTCTGATGCGGAAGAACGAGTAAGGATAAGTGCTCGGTGCCAAGATGAGGCCAAGGAAGCTTGCCATCGGAGTACAGAACGCTTGCGCGAATTGTTTAACTTCGACGTGGACACCATGATATCCGTAAGGACGGAGTCCACACCACTGAAAAAAACTGCTCTGACGCCAATGCCAACGAGAAGCACATCAACACCTGCCCCATCACCCGCCAGAGATATTGATCTGCCCCAGTGGAAATGGGAAGAAATTTCACTTCATTGTTGCTACGTGCCGCAGTTTTATCACGCCAGACATTATCACTCTGACACTGATCTCCGTGTGTCAGCGAGAGGGGCAGAGTGCACAGAGAACAAGACACATTCAACACGAGCTAGAGATCAGGCGGTTACAGCAGAAAACCCCAAAACACCGACAGTTCCATCTTTCAAGGAAACGAATAGCATGGATGTCTCAACCTTGTACAATATTTGGTGTGCCCGGATTAGACGTGCTTCTCATACAGAGAGAGAAACGAAGGAAACCAAGGCTTTCCTCGATAAATTAAAACGGCCGTTGTCCACTGGACGAATCCCTTCAACGGTACCACTTGCAGCAATCTCGGTTCCAGTGAATTCACCTGTCAAACATATATCTCGGAATCCGTTTCGTGGTGGTTGCTTGCCAGCGGAGCAAGTTATGAAAACTGGCGCTTGCCAGCGAAGTGCAAATGAACTTAAAATAGAAGCGGGTTTTCAGTTCATCGCAAAAGGGGAAGAATCCAAGGACTGCACATCACACCCATGCCGATACCGGCAGTTAACTATTTTCGGTAAGTACACTCTGTTCGTGCGCAACCTCTTATTTTCCTTGATTACGCCATCATTTGAGGGCTTTTGAAACGTGTAACCGCTGCCTCAGTTTATCGGACATTTATGGGTAGAAAGAGTGGTTCAACGGAAGTGATTATTAAATTTTCGAAGCTCCGCTAGCTTTTTATTTTATCCATCCTCTGTGTTCATCTATGGGTCGAATCAGAAATATAGGTTTTTGTTCTTTATATTTGGACGACCGTTTGTTACCACTGTGATTTTGACTGCATCTAGGGCCTTCAGTTGAAGAAAACCTGAAGCTTATCAGGTGCAGCTGCTTTCATTATTTGCGTCTAGCTGAGCCCTCTGTAGTGATGCGATCAACGACCATGTATTAGTGAGTGTACCAAGTAATGAACATAAGGAATTGTAAGACATATAACTGTGTTGCTTCATCTTTATAACATTGGGCGCGCATGTGGAATAACATCGTTCATTACCGCGCACCGACAATATAGTTCGACTGTGCGACGTTCAATTCACTTGCCATACGCTCCCGAAATCTGTTTCCTGTAAGGTGGGTATCGGTCTCGTGTCAGGTGCGTTATCGGGTAAAACGACGCCTGAAAAATAGTAGTCGAGCTTTCCGTCTCAGGTCCGGTACTGCAGGTTTGTGTCTGTGCACACGAGTGCCACTTACTGTGGGCACTTTCAGAATTGACCTCAGTGTGGTAAGTTGGTGTGTACAGCTCCAGTCTCTTACATCGGTCTTCCTACGACACCCCGTAAACTGGGGATGAGTATGGTGGCGAAGCGCTGAACGTGTTCCCATCGTTGAAACTCTCCTCGTGGGTTCGGATAATAACCTGGCGAGGCGCACCCGAGCATTAGTCTTATGCTAGAAGTGGAGATGTAAGTGGTATTCAAGTCAGGGTAAATGCCAAAGCTAGATTTGAGAACCCAAAGGACGTGTAGTCCATTATGTCATAGAGTGTTGGTGTTGTCTATAGATTTCAAAACCCATCGGTCATTCACCGAGGGGTGGAAAGTAGCAGTTGGCCGTTAAAAATGTACGCAAGCCCATCTTCCCTCTTCTCGTACTCAAAAATACTAACTAGACTGCGTCGATCGGCAGATCAACATCTGTAGATCATATGGACGTGCGATCAAGGTCATGCAAAGTAGGTCCTAATCGTCGATAGCATAAAGTACTCTCCATATCTTTAGTTGGACTGCAAGCAAGTCGCAATGCAACTGGGGAAGCTGAGGCACTTCATTGAGGTGGATCAGGAACAAAATGCGCATCAGTATTGTGTCTTGGACTATCCCGATGGGGGAGGGATACCATCCACTTACTTGATCATCCATTTGTACTCTCCATTTCTTCATACTGAGAAAGTCAACGATCGAATGGTGCAGTGAGCCACCAATCCCGCGCATACTTCTCTTGTATATGCGGGCCTCGTGGTTCACGTTGTAGTAAGCTTTACTGACATAAATGTAGATCATTTGACAGATTTTCCCCGGTTCAGTGCTTACAACCGTTGGTCAGCCGCAAGTTGGGAATACATGAGCTGACCCCCATGAAACCGTACTGTGCCGGCTTTAGGTCTTACGACTCCTACGGCTGCAGCAGACCCTTGCTTACGGTCTTATCGAACATTTTGGCCAAATCCCAGGTAAGACAGTTTGGCCGGTAATTGTCCTCTTTGCTCCGGTCACTGATTTTCGGAATGGGCTTAAACGTTGTACGTCTGCAGTCACCTACAAAGCATCCTCGGTCAGCAACTTATCGAACGTATCAGTTACGGTGGTGATGGCCGATAGGGATTTGAGAATCAGTGAGCGGAGCGCGTCAGGTCCACCTTGCTTTCTACCGTCAATACTGGTGCGTAGGTCGTGTATAAATTCTACATCGCAATCCGAGCCATCAACTTTATTTGAGGCTTACACAATTCGAATTCAGTACAGCGGTACGACTATTTAAATATATGGAAACGAAGTGGACTGCCAATGCGAAAGCACTCTCTGTGCTCGAGTTGAGACGTTGTCTGTCAAAGCCGTCTAACAACGCCACATCACATGCGGACCTCAGGCGCCACTTTACAGAAGCATAAGGTACTCTTGGAGGCCTCTACTCCGAGGTTGCAAACTGCTCTTCTAATTGCCGATGTTACTGAGCTTTCATATTGTCGCATAAATTTCAATATCCATGTACACATCTTACTCTTCGACAGAGACAGTCTGGAGGAATTCGCTTCATAGTACGCGTCGCCGTCGAGCCAAGTGCTCATACTTCTTGTGTAACCAATGTGGCATTCCTGGCCCACCTTTCCGATACATGAGGGGTACGAATCGAGCACATAATGATTTACGCACTCTCCATTGCTAGACCAAGAATCCTCAACGGACGCATGCCGTGACAGCGAACAATCAATCGAAGTCACTTTTCTACTAATTGTAGGATGGTTCTTGTGGACGTGAGTATGGCAGCGGTAGCTCTAAGCTGGCTAGGACCACTAAGCGGTTACTCACTGCCATTGGCTCCACAACCGGAGCATCATGCACACACTGTTCCTATCTAGGTAACCTCAGGTGCAGGCACGACGGATTGCAGTAGGTTGTAACGCACGTCGGCTGGGAGATGATTTGTTTTGCCCAAGTCTCATATATCGCCTCAGAAAACGCTGCCTCAACATTACTATACCTGGGGGAGAAGCTGAATCCTAGCTCAAGGTAATCAAAGTAACTTAAAATGACTTAAGTTTATGAACTGTTGGCAACATATCTTTTCGTACATGCAACAACCACTCCAAATGGCGACTTCGCGGGCTGCGATAAGCCATATCCACGAGCAGTTCTTTACGTCTCAGGTATACAGCGCACCACGTTTGTTCGCATAGGACATGTTAACAACGGTGGGTGTTAGCCAGCCTCCCGCAAAACGAGGACCTAGTGCATACCAACATACAATCGCGGTTGCTTGATATTCGGTCTCGTAGGAAGCACGAATGTACACAGACCTGCACTTCCTGTACAGCTACGTTCGGATTAATCTAAACCCCAATCAGTCTTAGTACGTCTGGTTGCCGAGAGGCAACAAAATGGAACAGATCGCAACACTCATTCTTTGGACTACGAAAAGTAGTGAAGGATTCGCGCAAGCAGCGATAAAAATCGTTAAGAGCGCAAGAAGCGTCATCGAGCTGTTAAATCCGACTCCGCGAACCCAGGGAACTACCCGAACATTTACACTTCGTAGATTTATCTTACCACCATCGTTCCGCCGCGTTAACTCAATGGTTGTAGACTTACGTTTCTCCCTTTCCGGTAGATGCATATCTGGACGAGTATGGATTTTAGCCTTCTGAGAAGAGATAATGTCATCCTTTGACTTGTTCATTCGACAACAGTGGCTTTCTGCAGCGGTGTTTTCTCCGCATCTCTTTTTCCAAGTCAGGTGCTTCGGTTACCTGCAAACCCTGTACGCCGAAGTCCAGGAGTCTGTTGATCGGACTCGGCAAATCAGGACGCCGTGGTCATAGTTTGTCTGAGGATTCACCTCAGTTGACCCGGGTACATGAAATATCATGCGGTTACAACGCTTCTGGTCGCTATCGGTTCCTCTCACTTGCTCCCTTCTTGAGGTTTTCTACTGGCTTTCATCACTGACGCTATCGCACATCAAGAAGATAGTGACCATCGGACGCAACATCGGCACATCAGTTAAATCTAGAGTAATGGATGGGCATCATTCCGGAGAACATGAACCCGGCAAGCAAACTGGGTTCGCTCGAACACAGGAGCGGCTGCGTGTCTGTTTGTTGCGCTGAACTTTTAGCCGTCTTTGCCAGTTAGGGTGGATTATTTACTCATGCTGGTTGCATTTTATTCTGACACTTCTTACAAATATTGGAAAAAATCGCGTTAACTTTGTATCGAGCAATAATAGACCAACACACAGAATATAGAACCTCAAAGAAGATATAAAGCAAGTTACGGCACTAGCCCCATGGCCAACACTTTTGCGGCAAGTGCTACGTGGACGCTGCTGTGTTATTACCGATAATGTAGCTTATAAAGTGATAAAATGTGAATCGATCGACTGATATGGTGACAACTGAGCATTCATCATCAGCTGCAAGTGGAAAGCTCCTCAGCTGTTTGTCATAGACAATTAGGAAATTATGCAGCGAAATTCACAGTAGGCACCTAAACTCTACGGACTAATTCAGAATCAGAAAGGGGACTGAATTCGATAAATATAACACGAAGATACAGCTGTGCACGTGATAACAAAAAGAACAAACTGGTCTAGCGATGAAGTTGGAAAAGTCATTCCGGCGAACGCTATTCCTGCTCACCTACCTACCACCACGATGTTTATATGACACCATCCATTGAGTGTGATTGCCATCATACAGTAAAGTTTTAATTAATTGTGTTGGCTTTAATAGTGACCAGCAGCCTACAGTAGCTTCAGTCTTTGCTCTTTGCACTGTTGTTCAGATTCCTTCTAGATGGATCTGGCGGTGCGCTTGGATAAGTTAGTGGATAGTTTGATGCCCGTTAGTTCCCTCTGTGATTCTGAATATTTTACATTGTACTGTTTAGTTGGTTGTCACAGATCTCGTATTCTAGTATTGCAAAATTTGCATTACAATCTACATCACTTTTCCTTCAATTTTTCAAAAGGTCCAAGTATATACCCTGTGCTTTTTGTTGGGAAATTGTTAGATTTTTGGTAAAGTCCATAGTCCGCTTCAGCTGCATCACTAGATTTAATATTTTTCACGTTAGGCTAATCGCTGGTTCTACTCATCGGTGGTCCATTCAACACTATTTCATGAAATTTCATGTGACGAATTCTGCCGTCACAGACAGCCATGAAGGCTTATGGCATTTCCGATGCAGCTGATGGCCAAAAATGTCCAATGTTATGCACGAAGCTCTAACCTTTATCCTGGGTTCAACCCTGCAGTTTACATTATTGCCTACTGAGATTTTATCGCAGAGCTCCTTGGTTCCCTGAACCGGGACACCGACTGAGTTCAATTACCTATCAGTTTTATGCTGCTAGCGTCAATGACCCAGGGATGAATATCCAATGGCTGAAGAGACACGGAAAACTTAACGACGAAACTTTGTGAACAGAGAAGTTCTTAAGTGCAAAACAATAGCAAGACATGTAAAGTAAAGCTCTTGGCACACTCCTTGCGCACCATCTGCTGCTACTTATCAAATGTGTTCAAACGTGCTTGTTGTCCACGCACCTGGGTCCATCGATCTAAGCCCTCAGATACACTGATTACGACGTTGACACTTTTATAACATAGTTGGTAGGCTCTTCAAAGCGGATAGTGACGGATCTAAAGTAAGGTAAATCACACGTCTCAGTGAAAATAAGTCTTATCATATGTGCTTTCCATTGCCTCTGAGCGGAAACGGATACCTATTCAGCAGTTCAAAGTATAGCTAGATCTACATTTCTCTACCATTAGATTCAGAGAACGATCACTCTTTGACAATGATCTCTTGCATTTGTGAGCCCAGAGCTACCGTTATACCATAAAAACAGCGGGTCACAGATGTCTCTATATACCGTTTGAATGTTTTTGTCCCTTTTTCGGTGACGCATTGCAGACTAAAATATTTACTTGTTCCCACAATGCAGTATTCTGTATTCACTATTATTCAGACACCGTAGTTCTTTGGAACAGGTTTTGACTACTCCTATCACCAACACGTCCACAATTTACTGCGCTGAGGAATCGGAAGTGGAGTACAGACCCATGATCCTCTGGTTGTCCCGTGTTATGTAAGCTCCTCAAGGAATGACTTAGTCTGCGCCACCGTGCTACTTCCACGAAAATGACTAGTACTGGCGAAACCATGTTCCTCGGTCAATTTCCTCACTTCGAAGCTCCTGAAAATTCACCTGTTTGATGATACTAGAACAGACGACTTCAGTGGTGAGACCACAACAGCCACCACAATATGGGGTATGACGCCAGATGAAACGGAGACGGTGATTTCTACACATTTCTTACTGCCAATACAGCAGGGATGAATTTCACGATTTGGTTGGACAGAGTCCCAGCTGAGTGCTCGCTTGGTGATAGGTCACATTTATAAGTCATCCCTGATTTACGACATATTTTTGAGTGTTACCCACTTCCATGGTACTGGGATAAAGACCATAATGCAAACTTTTCCAACAGTAGAATGAAAATTGAACATTTGTTCTATATGCGCCAGACTAATTGCGCAGTTTTTGTTTAATGTAAAAAGTGAAACTCTATACATACTGAAGCCTGTAGCATCCGCGTACGACGCTTATCGCAAGTTCTCCTCTGTTCTCCCGGTAGTGAATGCACCAACTCACGACCGAGCAGGCTTCACCCTAGTTGAGGTTGGATTATTCAGATGGTGAAGAGGAGCTACCGATGAACCAGCTAGGATTAGCCACCTGGATTTTCTGCCAAGCGAACCCCCTTAGTCCACTCAAGCAAATGTATAGAAACCATTGCTATCTTCTTGGCTATTCAGCCATTCAGCTTCTCAAAACTTTCCTGACATTTGTTGGCTAAAGGAAATTTGCTGCTGGATGGGTGATGGTATTTTTTGTCTCTAACAACCACTTTAACATGAGGTCCAAACCCTGTCTACTGGACATCTTTTCCCCGCGCACATGTAACACGCCTTGCCCCTATGTTGTGTAATGAAGCAGGAAATGGCTCTCCCGTGGTGGTTTATAAACGCGCTCACACTCACGTGTGCGTGCGGTAATCCAGTGATCGTAAACGTGTCAGAAAATACACAGAGGCGCTGTTTTCCTCTTCTTGGGATTATGGGTCGCATTACAAGCCTGGTGCGGTAATAGGAGAACCAATACGAAGCACATGGCTACTGCGTGATATACTTTCTCGTAAGAAACTTCCATCGCGCAACATGAGAATGCTATCGAAGATCAACGTCCATCCTGTGGGAACCTATGCATGGAGTGCTACTAGTGGAGTAGGTGAAAGAAGCAGAACTGACATGGGATAAATCTACTTTATGTCCGTTCGGCCGTCGTTCGCGTTGACTTGCAGATTAACCCCCCACGAATGTTAGGCCCAAAGGAGCAAGGCAGGCACACTCCGGTAGACCACTTTGATAGTTGACCAGGAGGTTAGTATATTGCAGAGATAGATTAAAGCAGAAGTTGCTTTTATGTGCTAAGCTCCGCTTCCGATCCGAAGTTACTTTGCACCGCCGGCCAGTGTCACTTCCTACAGTTTTTATGGACGTCGGCAAGCATTCAAACATTCGGCTGGGGTTATATTGTGTAAGTTGGCGCTAGGTGAGATGTTTAGCTACAATAGATGTCCGTCAAAACTATGTGTCACGTTCAATGGACAGTCTGTAATGTACTACCCATGGATAATACGGGGCGAAACGAGCAAATGTGATGCAATCAGAGAAATCGCGGGTCGCAGTGTACAAATAAACCAACACCAATACGTTGTGCATGAAGGCGAGCAGCGAAGATGAGAGTCTAAGCAGCACCATGTATGAAATGTGCAAATGGACCCGACTGTGCTCTGTTTTTGATAGCACAACCGGTCTGCACTGCAAAGCGTTCTCAACATATAATTCACTGTTTCAGTTATATCATTTCATTCACCCGACCAGGGTGGAGTGCGGTTATCTCTAGTTTGTTAGGGTAATTTATGTTGCATTTTCTAAAAACTAGCTCTTCTACTGACTTGAATGTTAAGAGCCATTTCGTTTGTGAAGGGGTAGTACTATTTGTCCAACACAAGCCACCGTTCACGGGTTAGCATTGTTGTATAGAAGCTATTCTTGCCAGTTTGCATGGATGATAGTTACTGACTTTCTGTTTTTATAAGGTCTGAGAGGAATGTTCATGTGTGACGGCAAATAAGAGGCTGAAAAATTGAACTCAGATGTCTTTTTGGAGGGAACATGCGTCTTCCGTCAGAATATAGCTATAGTGCCTCAAGCGTATCTATGTCATTCAAGTTCTTAATGTGCTCCGCGCAATCCAATGCTGGAGCGTCGACCGAAAGAGATTGCGTAGTCGTCAGCCTTCCATTTAGCGACAGAACACGATCTCGGGGATTTCCCGTGTGGCCGCCGTCTGTTCCGCGAATCTTTCTAACCAGAAAAGCAAGGGTCAATAGTAAGGAAACATTTAAACTCGTGGCGCTCAAACATTAAATGAAAGGCGTGTGAAGTTAAAAAAATTTACTTCTGCGTTCGTCTCGGAAATTGATATCACAGCTCCATTTAATGACCCTGTGTAGACGATAGATTGTGTCTTGAATACATAACGGTCGCACATTTTCGTGCGCATGGTTTTTGTTTCAATTCCTATACAACGTTCTCTATTTCACATTTTCAGATTGCACAAGATGGAAACTGACCCCACGGTCCAGCGCCGAGCAGTGGAGCGCGTGTTAACTAGTGAGACGTGTGTTTTCTGCGCCAGGATTGTGAAAAGACACTAGAGAGTTGCATTGAATGGTGGGTAGTTTGAGTATTCTTATCTCTTACATTTTAGTCTCTTTCATGCCGGCGATTTCTAAGTGAACTTTTAAAATATGGTATAAATTGTTAACTTACTATAATAGTTATGCTTTTCCTTTAGACCCTCAGAAAGCGTACTAATCTTTAGCATGCTTAACTCATTTTGGCCGATCTGATTTTGTCTTGAGTGCTTCAATAAAGTTTTCGGTGTGTTTAACAAGTATGCCAACAACAAATAGGTTAGAGGTGTGGTTAAGATTTGTCCGGTACTAATTCTGACGGTGATTCAAATTGATGGTATATTCTGAATCACGGCGGGCGACTTTAGCCTCCGTGTGTTATCTGTGATGTTACTGCATAGTTCCCCAACCGCATCAGTTCCTCCCGCTCAACCACGATATGCCCTCTAGTAAGAGAGAAAACAGTGGACCTACGGTGCCTCCAGACGTATTCATACATCTGGCATATTGCACTAATACGCTTTTGTTTTGCATGTGTAAAAACAGTATAAATAAGTCAAAGATCCGGGATTTTACGATTAGATTTAGGAATCTCCCTGTAACTTGGACTGAAACGCTAACGCGTAGTTGGAAAGGTGATTTGTCTTTAACCATCTTTACTTCTTTCGACCACTGCGCCGCATTCAAAGTTGCTGCGTTGTTTTTTTTCAAACGAGGTGGTCTAGTGCCATTTTCGCCCTTTTTGGGAATCTTCAATTGGCGCTAACCTGATCCGGCTGTCTAACCAACGGCCGGGCGTTTCCGGCGGATGCCTCGATGTAGTTAAATACAAAGCACCGTCTAGATGTAAGCATGCTTCAATCTATCTGATGGTACTTAAATGTTTGGGAAGTCCACCAACTTAACACACTAACAGGGTAGTTGAAACCCTGTCTATTCACTACAAAATTAGGCTAATTTAGACTTACTGAAGTCAGTTAAACCATGACAGCAGGGATTGAAATACATGGACTTTGATGGAGCGTGTTTTTAGCCCATAGTTTTGATTATCGGTAGCGTTTGTACAGACCCACAGTTTAACTGAAGCCTCACCCAGTGTCACTTGTATCGTGGTGATTACATAAAACTTCTTCGTCCCTTAGTACCCTTGGTTCCTTCCTACAGCAATGGATAAGCAGTTTCTTCAGCTCTTTTAACATTGAAAAGATTTCGTAGATTTCGTAGATCGTGCAATAAATTTGAGGGGACTTTTACCGTTGCCTGTTCACAATAAACAACATTAAACTTGTCTTTGTTCATCTGGTTTTCCCCAGGTATTTTCGTATATCTTCCCCTGAAATCAACTCACTGTTACAAGATCTCTACCAAAATGCAGTGTCGTACTCGGCAAGAGATACCTTATGTTCCAAAACGTGCCCTCTGATCTCCGACAGTCGACCTGCTCTCCTACTTGACGGAGTTATTTTTCACGTTACCTTTACTCAAGATTGTCTTTCAATCTCCTTTTTTCCTAACATCCATTTCATAAAATGCAATTTAAGACTCTCATGCTATTTCACGATGTGCATTACTTCTTTCAAATTATGTCAAGCATTTCCCTGTATCAAATTATTTTGTGTACACACTTCAACCAGGTGTAAGCCAAGTTTCTCCGCACCTCTCCAAATGCAGGTGGCTTTGTTGTCTATTAATGCGTCCTTATTTTGAAGCGATTTGGTCAGGACCACTGGGGATTTAACGTCTAAAACAATGAACAAAAGCGTAAATAGTCTGCTTCCTGTGTCGTTCTATTCAACCGAACGCCGGAAATTTTGAATAATATAGGCGAATCATTAAGTTTTGGTGTGTTACACACTTCTTGTATTGACTCATCTGTTGTATGATGACGATAAGTTTATAATCGTTGCAGATGTGCCCACAGCAGGATCCGGTTGATTGATAAACATAACGGGCCTAGGTGTTTTTCTCGTTACGTTACCGCTATACTGATAACTTTAGGCCAAATCTCTTCGTAGCTACAAAAGATTTCATATGGAATTTCCAAACAGCACATCCAAAAGGTAAGCCTGATGAGATGCTCTCAGCTAAGCATATATGTCAAGCAGAAGTCCCTTTTGATTTTGTTGGCGTTGGCGATGCATTAAGTCTGATTTTATCTGGTAAGCACAGGAAGAAACTAAAATAGGTGTAGGGAAATGGTTGATTGTTAATTTTGATTCAAAACGTCCCTCTAAGATGTGATAAGGATGAGAAATTTCGGATGAGTGGGGTGGCTTAAAGCATACTTTAGGATCGAAACGAGGTTCTGACAACCGGGGATACCAATCTAAGGCAACTGCTTGAAATGTAGCATTGCTATTTTAAGTAAATTAAGTGCAAAAACATATCCAACTATTTTATATCATGATTCAGCATAAACTTTAGCTGATGGTAGATACTACTTTAATGCTTAATTGGTTTCCATGATCAAGTGCATGTCGACGTTAATCTACTACAGTAACGAAGCTTCTTTAGATATTATCGCGTTATTCGTCACTGCACTAGCTTGTGAATGTCGGTGCAAATGCAGCTAATAAATAATAGAAAATACAGGTCACAATATCTGTACCACTTAGGTGCATTTGTCCTTGATATTTTAAGTGAGTAACCTAAGGGGAACGAATTTTTGCAGACTGCTGAAAACGTGTGTAAAGATCTTGCAATGACAAAAAGAATAATCAACGGAGTTCATGATGAAAATTGAGGTTGCTTTGAATCAACGAAATGTTTTATTTAATTGATCTGACCCCGTTCCAAGGGTTGTTTCGGGAAATGGCAGGCTTGGTCAAATTTGGTGGTATTTCTTTTCACACACTGTCATCTTATGGTGTCGCCAAATGCGCCTGGGTGGTCCAAGCGGGTAAAAGCTGAAAGTTAAATAATTACTTGTGCGCTGTCAAACGGCCAGATAGTGCAGCAGTGAACTAAGTGTAAATATCAACTGGGACAAAAATATCCGATTGTGCGTACAAGGTCATCATTTTAGAATCGGACAGTCATAAGTCGACGAACATATGGGATATAATTGAATGTATTTGATCCGGTTGCTTCAACAGAGATATTTAACCTTCGACAAGCCTTCGAACTCTACGGATAGGCAAAATGGCAGGGCAACTTTTATGTTTTGTTCCACAAATACTTTGCACGATTATCTGAGATCAATATATGGATATCTCACAAAATTCGGTATGCTGTGTTATAGCCTCCCAAATCCCACAACGGAGGAGAACACTGCCCGAAGCGTGGTAAATGAAATTATTGCCATGGATGAACATGGGTTAAGAACGCAGCAGTATTAAGAACCAAGTGGTTAGGGTCGCCAATTTTGCAGAATTGTAAAGGAGGAAATGAAAAGAAATGGGATGATAGTTTTAGAAGTGGCCAATACAATAGTTTTGACGTGATCAGTCGCTGAGTATCCTTTGAAGTAAAGAAGTAAAACGATGGATAATGGATTAGTAATATTGAGAAATAAGAGTATACCATGTTCGACGCATTAATTCTCTACGCGGGTGAACCGTGAGCTTTTCTGCACTAGAAACTATGGAAACAGCTACTGGCTCTGTTGTGGGAACAAACTCATTTTGTACTCATTTTAACCATTTCTTTGCTCTTTGAAACACAACTGCTCCATCGTTTTGTGTAGTCTAACTAGTCAGGTTGAATTCGACAGCGGGAGGAATTGATTTAATTCAGTTTTTGTTATGGTTGCGTAGATGCCTGATAACATTGTCACTAGCACGGTTGGAGCACGCCTACTGTAACGCATTGAAACACTTGCCAATCGAACAGATTTGCGCTGACCTGATGGCGTTAGCTTAGCCTGCAGTACGCGCTGGTGAGACGGAAATTGAGCGAGCGTAAGAAGGATCATAGCCGAACGTATTCGGGTAGACGCTGAGCCCTCGGAACGGAGGCGCACGAGAGGGGCTTACGGTAGACGCACACTAGTGACTTAGACTCGAACGCTGCCCGGCTAACGACGCACACAAAATCACGTGAGCGACCGACTCCCAACTAAGGCGAAGAGGAAGGAAGGTAAGTGTCCCTCTGAAGGCTCTTTTACGACCAACAAAAGGCGAATCATAGCCAATGCAATGGGTCAGTAAGTTAGGGAAAATTGCTACGACGACGGGGTGGTAATTTGTAAAAGCACATTGTCAACTGGTGCGTAGTTGGGCCGCTTCTCGGAGTGGCTGAACGCTGCTGACTTGTGCGGAGGAACTGGACCCCGCTTTAAACAGCCCTAATGCCGGATTTTCTGGCGCGTTTTTGAGGGGATATTTGACGGGCCCGCAACAGTTTTTAATTGTGCAATGGATTAATTTGCCTCGTTGGGAGTGGAACTCAGTTCCATATCCAAGATCACGATCAAATACGGTGATAGGAATTCTCTCTCCACTTAGAGCTAAACTACCTGAAGTAATGTTATGTGGACGACAGCACGGTGGACCAATGGTTTCTGACGAATAAAAGGGCAAATGCTTGAGGAGTCAGCTTAGATGTTTGGAGTGAAGATTACAAGACAAATCACAGTGTCTGTAAATGAACGTGCGAGATACATTACTCATTAGGAGGTTTTTAGTAGCACATGTGTTAATGCATTCTGCCTTGATTTTAAGATTATGACACCTGAAAATGACTGTGCTTCATCAATCTCACCATCTTATCGTCATGGCCTGTCATAGTGTAAAGGTGTCAGGGTAACGTCAAGGCATTTTTTGAATAGGGATAAGTTCGGTGTTTAATTACATGCACAGAAAGTGAGTTCCCGAGTGGTGTCACTCGGAGGGAGAAAAGGTTTCTTCGAAATTCCTGCCGGGTGTATTGCGTAGCGAAGTTCAGCTGATAGTCCTTCAGAGACGGGTTCTGGTTGACTTTCTGACTATGGTGGCAAGTGTGGTTAGATTGTGTGTATCCGACACTATCATGAGCACCCTATCGTGAGCACCCTGATGGCGTACGCTGCGAATTTGCACTTGGCCGTGTTGATCTGGAGCATGTTCTCGATGGAATATATATTTACGCCTTATGCAGATTATCTTTTAGGGCGGTGTGATCTTTTACTGTGGTGATTGCACGCCGTAGCTTTAAATCATGGGCGGATAGTACAAAAACCTTGAAGACAGCACCTTAATCGGATTATTTATGAGGCTCAAGAACAGGTGGGGGTTAGCTACTGAGCCCCGAGGCATGCCTCACTAGATTTCGATTAGTTTGGATAGGGGGCTTGGAAAAATTAACCGATTTCCCATTTTCCACAGCTATTCAGGTGGAAATATATAGACGATCTTCATATCTTCCGCCTAAAATATGGCATTTTTTATTTGAGTTTATTGACAACATTTTTTATATAGCTATGGAACAAATTAGGATCAAAGTCACTACTTTGCATAACTCGGATGGCTATTCCTCGTGGTTTTAACTGTAAAAGTTCTAGCAAGACAGTTTGTATGCGATACTCCAGAAAATGGTTAAACCAAGCCAGAAGTGGGTGGTGTATGACACATATTTCAAGTTTTATTAGGGTGCAATTATAAGTTACACAGTCAAAGGCACTTTACGTATCCAGGGGAATCCTCATTATCGTCATTTAAGCATTTCCAGACCAAATGGCGCATTTAACAAAATCTACTTGGCATGTTTTACACAAGCGACTGCTCAGAAATCCGTGTTGCTGGTCATTTGCTACACTGCCTCCGAAGCAGACTAAACAGCCACGCGTTATATCAAGCATTGAGTTTTGCATAGCTTGCGACACATTGCTGGTAACGTTAACAAGCAATGGGGTGCACTTTGTTTAAAACGCGCGCTCAAATCCATACGCGTTGGGATTTGTGTTGGCAGCTGTGACGTAGATTCTTCCACATTAATAGTCAGTAAAATACACCCCTAGATGAGTGACTGAAGCAAAAGAACAATTAATCCAATCAACACAATTTAAGAGATTCCAAGAGGAATGAACACAAGATGTAACTATTATGATCCCTGCCGATTAGTTAAAGGGAAAAGATACAGCAGCGCGTGTGAGGTTATAAGTAACTATGAGATACAAGTTGTCTTGGGTAAGTTTGACAGAATATAAGTGTTTTGACTAGCCTATTATCGCAAGAAGGTAGGCGATTTTTGAGAGCCAGAAGATGACTCGCACCTTTGATATGTTGAATTCACTGGCTATAAGTGTCCTGGCGGAGGGGTGTTTAGATGCAAGCTGGGAGATCTTCTCAAGATTAGCCCATACCAGATAATTAAGGCGTGGTGGAGGATAAACACACCTCATCAGGAAGCCTATTTTACTAAAGCGTGCAAATATCTAGACAGTCATATACATGAACAGTTAAGAATCGATCAATTCGTCAAACCAGCGGCCTTAACTAACATGGATGGAGCAGCCCCCACCGCCACCTACTACATGACATTCATGAATTAGTTTATAGCCTGACATCTCTTTGTCAAGTGACCGAAAATGGTGGTCACCTTGGGCAGGTGGTCGCCATGGACAGGTTCATGCGCAGGGTAAAAAAAGAATCTCCCTTTGCATCACTAGCAAAGCGCAGCTTATTAGATAATACCTGGCTTTTGAC